CCAAACAAAAAAAAAAAAAAAAAAAGAAAGAAAGAAATGATGCTACATGCTCTGTGTCTTCCAAGTTCTCGAAATTTCTTTCTTATTTTTTTCTTTTTTGAGTTAGAGTCTCACTCTATCATCCAGGCTGGCGGCTACTGCAGCCTTAACCTGCTGGGCTAAGGTGATCCTCCCGTCTCAGCCTTGCAAGTAGCAGGAACTACATACAGGCATGCTCTACCATGCCTGGCTAATTTTTCAATTTATTGTAGAGACGAGGTCTCGTCAAGTTGCCCAGGCTGGTCTCGAATCACTGGGTTCAGACGATCCTCTCGCCTTGGCCTCCCAAAATGCTGGGATGACAGGCATGAGCCACTGCGCCCGGCCTCAAAATCCCTTTACGTAACTTTTTGGTCCACTTTTGTCAAAATACAGCTTTATGGAGGTGTAATTCACATACCATGAAATCCACTCATTTTCCACTCAGTGGTTTTCATACAGCTCCTGAGGTGTCCAACCACAGGTCTCCTCCCCAGTCAACCTGGCTGCTACCTGCTCATACCTAGTCTCAGGTGTCTACCTTTACAGCTCAACCTTCCATGGTCCTTTCAATGTGGGATCATTGGTTGCTTTCACTATGCTGAGATGATGATTAACATGATGAGTGAGGCCAGAGTCGGCAGGCTCTGAGGAAGTTTCTCCCCAGTGAGGAATAAGCACTGCTTCCGTGCAGAGACAGGGCATCTGTTTCATACAGGCAGGCAAGTCCACAGCTAAATGGGGCCTGATTTAACTACCACTTACCACTTACCTACTCCAGAGCCAGGACTGAGTCCAGGCACTTGTTTTTCATTTTTGCTTTTGAGTTGGGAACTCACTCTTTCGCCCAGTCTGAGTAGCAGTGGTGCGATCATAGCTCACTGCAGCCTCCAACACCTGGGCTCAAGTGATCCTCCTGTCTCAGCCTCCTGAGTATCTGGGACTACAAGTATGCGCCAACACACTCGACTAATTTTTTTATTTTTGTAAAAATGGGGTCTCACTGTGTTGCCTAGGCAACAGGTCTCAAACTCCTGGCCTCAAGCACTCCTCCCATCTGGGCCCCCCTAAATGCTGGGATTATAGGTGTGAGCCACCATGTCCACCAGGCCTTGTTATTATTGTCTACTTGGTATTTCTACCTTCAAAAGGTAGGGCACTTAAAAAAATACCTAAAATTTGTAATGGAAAATGTTAAATATACAAAAACCAGAGAGTATAGCACCATAAGTCCCAGTGTTCATCACCCAATTGCAACCAATACCATGTTACCGCACTCACGTCATCTTTGCTCCTACTCCTATCTCCTGCACCCCTCCTGCAGGGATTACCTTGCAGCAACTCCCATCCATCACACTATGTCATTCAGCCCTGACGTCCCTCCACAATGGCACATACAGTTTTTTTTGGGGGGGGGTTGGAGTCTCACTCTGTCACCCCTGCTGGAGTGAAGTGTCACACTCACAGTCACTGCAGCCTTGACCTGCTGGGCTCAGGAGATCCTTCTGCCTCAGCCTTCTAAGTAGCTGAAACTACAGGTGTGCGCCACAACACCTGGCTAATTTTTATTTATTTATTTATTGTGGAGATAAGGTCTTGTCAAGTTGCCCAGGCTGGTCTTGAACCCATGGGCTCAGGCAATCCTCTCGCCTCTACCTCCCAAAGTGTTGGGACTACAGGCGTGAGTCACCGCGCCTGGCATCACATACACAGATTTTATGGCAATGATCAAGTTCCTTGTCAATCTCCCCCTTTAGACTATGAGGACCCAGAGGTCAAGAAGTGTCTGTTTTTTATTAATGATCATGATATCCTAAGTTGGCGGACAGGCAGCACCCAGGATGACCCCATGCTGTCCCCTCCCTTCAAGGGCTGGACCTGACAGCTTGCTTCCAATGAGCAGAGCATGGCAGAAGTGGTAGGATGCCACATCCAAGGTTAGGGGACCAAAAGATGATGGCTTCCATCTGGGATGCCCACTCTCGCTCTCTTGCTCATACAACCTGAGGGGAAACCAGTGGCTACACTGTGAGTGGCCCTATGGGGATGCCCACATGGGGTCCCGAGTGGCTCTATGGGGATGCCCACATGAAGGTCCCGAGGGAAGCTCTGGCCAACAGCCCCACAGGGAGCCAAGGCCCCTTCCAACATTGGCCTTTGAGACATGAGCCCTGCCTGCAGCCACGTGAGTGACCCTGTACACACAGCCTTCCCCAGCAGAGCCTTTGGATGTGACTGCAGCCCCAGGGGACAGTGTAACTATACCCTTATGAGAGACCTTGAACCACTGACACCCATGGAAACAGAGAAAACAGATGTTTCTGGGTTTGGTCACTAAGTTCTGTGTTGCTTGTTACACAGCAATAGCTAGCTGATACAGCGACCTCTTTCTTTGAGCAATTAGTAGCAGCTAGAAGCGAGTGAGACACTTGAGGATGGCCTCTGTGATGATCATACCATAAGGAAATGGGCATGGAGAGGCCAGAAGTGTGCTCCATCATGGCCAGGAAATGTCAGAGCCAGGATTCTAGGGTGTGTGGTAGAGGGATGTGGCCCTCTCTATTTTAGTGGCATCAGGCCCCATGCCTGGCACACAGCAGGCATCCATGTGCCCTGGCTAAGCTGAGCTGTGTTGGCACCGGGGTTGGGGCTGTGGGCTGGAAGGAGATGCCTTCAGAGGGCAGACAAGACCTAGTTTGGGCTGCCCCTAAAGAGCGGCTTCATCCCAACTGGCACAAGGGGCACTTTCACGAGTACCCAGGCTCTTCCACAAAGACAGGAAGTGCAGAACCCGCTGCTGTCATGACGCCGGGCAGGTGGACGGGACTGTTAGTCAGGCAGACACCAGAGACATAAGCCCTGCAGTTAGCAAATTTGGGGTTTGGGGACAGGTGGGGACCCCACATCTCCCCGACCCAGCCTCTGTCTGTTGGGGCAGAGGCAATGGAAGCCACTAGCAGGGAACTTATGGCATTTTTCACCAAAAGAAAAATGCCTCAGAGAGCAGGTGGCTTAGAGGCCCATAGGCCGGGGTTGAACACAGAGGTTTCATTTCCCAGTTGCGGATGGTAACTTAGACTCCTCACCTCGTTCTCCGTCCGGGGCGGGACATTTTCTAACAAATCTATCCCGTTCACCACAACGCTCTTCTTTTCTTTGATGGGCACCTTGAACACCATCTTTGAGGACTTCTTGTAGCCTTCCTTCAAAGACATCAGCACGGGATCTAGGAAGGCAAGGGACCGTCTTCACCGATGACGGTGTGGACAATGTTTCACGGATCTAGTGCCTGGCTGCCGCCCAGGGTGGGGGAGGTTCGAGCGGGACCAGGGACGCAAGGGGAATGGGGTGAACCAGGCCCAAGGTGAAGGCTGCAGCCTCTCAACCTCTCCTGGAGGTCAGCCCCTGGGTACCTCGGTTGACGCCTCCCAGCCACTCATCTGGGGTCAGGGCCGGCTCCGTGCCTGGTGTCATGGGGTAGATATCTTCCTGGTAGGAGTCTGACTGCAGTGGGGGACAGAGAGAAGACAGGGTGGGGGCTGCCAGAAAGGCCCCTGCTCTCCAGTCAGACCCTACCCATACCTCCTGCTTTCCAACCTCCTGGCCTCTGCTCTCGAGGAGCTTCCCACCTGGAACCTTGCCTGCCTTCGTGAGCAAGCTGGACTGCGCCCCCCGGGAAATGTCCCCTGGGCCCATTCCAAATGGGTCTGAAGACCGCACCCACAGCACCTCTCTGCTCTGGGCTCCTCTGGGGTCAAGGCCAGGGATGCTTGGGCTGGGTTAGAGGTGGGGCCCCGCCCGGGCACCTGACTCACCCTCCGTGGCACAATCATGGAGATGGGCTCTATGAGGCCCTTGAGCGTCACCAGCTTGTAGAAGCGGAACACCTCGCAGGCCGACACGTCCAGCCCGTGCTTGGGCATGACCCCTGTGGATGGCACACACGGCTCCGTGGGCCCCCGGGATGTCCCTCAGGGCCCGCCCTGATGTTCTCAGCCTGGGGGCACGCTGACATGCCGGGCACACATTCTGGAGGCAACAGTTGGGGCAGAGGGCAGAGGGTGGGCCGGGCTTCTGGGATCAGGCTCTGTCTCTGGATGGTCACTTCTCAAATAAGCCCCTTGGGCCACAGTGGCCTCACCACAGTCTGCATTTCAGAATTCTAGACTTTTACTTGTTTTATTTTACTGGAGTCAAGATCTCACTCTCTTGCCAGGCTGGAGTGCAGTGGCACAATCACAGCGCACTGCAGCCTTGACGTGCTGGGCTCAAGCGATCCTCCCACCTCAGCCTCCCAAATAGCTGGGTCTACAGGTACAATCACCATGCCCTGCCAATTTTTTGATTTTTTTTTTTTTTGTAGAGATGAGGTCTCATGTGTTGCCCAGGCTAATCTCCAACACTTGACCTCAAGTGATCCTCCTACCTCCCAAAGTGCTGGAATTACAGGCGTGAGCCACTGTGCCCGGCCTGTTTCTTGACTTCTCTGAACCTACAAAAAGTTCCTGGGTCATGATCACCTTCCAACAGTGGTCAACAGAGGAGGAAGACAAGGAAAAACAGTCCCCTTGGGTCCCTCCTTCCTCCCTGCCCCATCCTCTTCGATCCCTTAGCAAGTCCTGCTGTCGCCACCTTCCAAACACCTCCTGGCTTTCTCCTCCTCTCCCATCTTCACACGGGCTGCCGACTGTCATCGTCTCTTGTCTGAGGGGACCATGGGATGACAGCACCCGTCACATGGGCCAGTGGAGGGGGCCGGCCAACCTCACGAGTGCAGGTGCCTATCGGCTCTGTTCTGCCCTGCCATGAGCCGCCACCTTCTGGTTTTCCACCGGGTGGGGTGACCTGTGTCCAGCCTCCCTGCTAGTGCATCCCCACCACACAGCCTCTGGACCTCTTACCCAGGCCTTTCTGAGGGGCTGGGGAGCGGAACTCCATGAGGTAACTCAGGTAGGGCTTCTCAGAGCTGATTTCATAGTAGCGAATGTTCCCATCGCCCTGCGGGCAGGAGAGACAGTGAGCCCAACCGCAGGCAGGGGAGTCTGAGCAGGCCTAGTGGGAGCACCCCTGTGCCTCGCAGGTGGTCCAAAGACCAGGGAGACCTAGCCTCTAGACCCTGGTGGGATGGTGGGTGGAGCGGGTGGGTGAAGGGTATGTGGACAGCCCTTCTGACACACAAGGCTGGGTGCACCTAGGTCTCTAAAAATCCCACCACTGGCCCTGACTATGCTCCAGGCTCTGGCCTCTATTCCCATGTAAAGTGGGTTGGTCACCAACACTTCAGTAAAAATGAGTGTCAGACTTGAGGGCAGGTGTGGATGGGAGAGGGCGAGAACCAGGAAGTCAGGCAGGTGGGGTCAGGGACATCAGAGAGGCTAGGCTGACTCTCCTTGGGGGTGGGTATGTGTGGGGGGAACCTGGCCTGCTCTTCCTACTTTTCCTTGGGGGCTGGCAGGTGCAGGGGAGCGTGGCGGGGGAGCGGCCGCTGTGTAGGCAGGGCTCTCCCACAGCCACTGGCCTGGTCCACCCTGCCCTGCCTACCTTTCCGGCCAGGTAGAGCATATGGGTGTCTGCATCGTAGAAGGGGAACAGGAGGCCTGAGAGTCCATCAATCTCCTCTTCAATCATGGGCATGGATAGGTCCTCCTGTGGGAGAGGAGCTGGCCTCAGCCATGTTCGGGCAGGATGGGCTGTCACCTCCCTGAGTCCCCGCCCCTTCATGTCAGGACCTCTCCCAGGAGCTGAAGAGGCCGTCCTACATGGCGGGGGTGGGGGCACAAGACTGCCATTCTGGTCCTGAGGAGTAGTCCAGGGTTGTGGAAGGGTCTTGCAGCAGGAGACCGGTGCCTTGTTCTCAGGGTCTCCTCCTCACACCCATTACTTTTTTATTCTATTCTGTTTTATTTTATTTGAGTCAGGGTCTCATTCTGTCACCCAGGCTGGAGTGCGGTGACATGCCTGCCCATGGCTCACTGCAGCCTCGACCTCCTGGGCTCAAGTGATCAGTGATCCTACTGTCTCAGCTTCCCAAGTAGCTGGGACCATAGGTGTATACCACCACACCTGGATAATTTTTTGATTTTTTTGGTAGAGATTAAGTCTGGCTATGTTGCCCAGGCTGGTCTCCAACTCCTGAATTCAAGCGATTCTCCCCCTTGGCCTCCCAAAGTGCTGGGATTACAGGTGTGAACCGCCATACCTGGTCCCACACCCACTACTTGCTGTGTGTCCCCGGGTAAACCTCTCAGTCTCTCTGGAGCTTAGTCCCTGACTCTTGAGAAGGAGTTGGGCATCCTGCAGGCATGGCTGACACTGTCCCCTGAGGACCCTGTCCCCAAGCTCTGTCTCTGGAGGTCTCTATGTGAGCCTCGGCTGGGGAGGCTAGGCTGTGGGACCAGGCTCCCGGCTTCCTGAGGATGTGGCCCAGATCCCACCAGCCCCCGGGGCTGACCTGGTCCCAGAGGGCAATCTGCCTGGTGTTCCAGCGGGAGACCCCCGTGGTGAGCAGCCGCTTCATGTTGCCCAGGAAGACCACCCGGTTTACTCTGTGGTTCTTGCAGCTTGCCTCCTGGGGGGGACAGAGAGTGGCGGTGAGCAGGACCCACTCACGGTGCTGGAATTTTTCAGATGGTGGCCCCCAAGAGATGCCCATGTCCTAGGCCCCAGGCCCCGGGATGTGTCCTCAGGATAAAGGGTCCTCATGGATATAATTAGTGTCCTTGTAGAGAGGGCGAGATCCTACAGAGAGGAGGGGGTGGCATGAGGTGAAGGTGGACACTGGAGCAGCGTGGACACCTGAGGCTGGTGGAGGAAGGACTGGACCCCTCTGGGAGCCTTGGCAAGGAGCACAGCCCTGCTGACACCAGGACTCAGGCCATCCGGCCTGCAGACAGTGATGAGCCACTCCGTGTATGGGGGATTTGTTACAGCAGCCACAGGAAATGGCTACAGGTCCTAGAGTCAGAGGTCAGCCTCCTTCCACTCCCAGGGTGGGTGATAAGCCTGGGGCAGGGAGGAGTTGCTGACCTAACCCCTTGGGGCTACGCCTGCCAGGCACTCTCACCAGGTCTCTCTTTGCATCCTCCTAAGAGTATCTACTGGAAGAAATATGAGCCCTGTTTTGCCAATGAGGAAACCGAGACTTGGGAGGCTAAGAGCCTCATGGTCAGACTTCCCAATTCATCAGGAGGCTCTTCCCTCCTGCACTGTCCTCCGCCTCCTCACCCACTGCTGCCATCAGCTCAGGACACTCAGTTTCCTGACACACACTATCCATCGCCTGCCGAGCCAGCCTCGTGGCCCCGCACAGGTGTGGATTCAGGCTGGTATCACTCGTGCTGAACTTGGGCCCAGCTTGGCCAAGAAAGGGCAGCCCAGGAGAAGCCTCTCACCCTCCCTGGGTTCTTGTCCCCACCCGTGTGTGGGAGCTTGGCTTCCCGGATCGCTGACATCCTTCCTGTTCATGGCTCTGGGTCTGAGTTCCAGCTCTTCCTGGAACTGTGAGGTTCAGGCCCCCCAGCCTCGCCAAGGCTCAGCACTTTCATGTGTAGAATGGAAGGAGAAGCAGGACCCCCAGGGGCTGTCCTGAGGATGAAAGGGGGGGCGATGGCAGAGCCCTTGGCATGTGAGTGCCCACAGTGGGCTCTCAGGGATAGTCAGTCAACACCAGCAGGACTGACGACTGTGACTGTCACTGGTGTAGTGCTGGTTGAGTGGCCCTCACCACGCTTTCATATTTTTTCTGATTTTGGAATATTTGCCGCATTCTCACCAGTTGAGCTTTCCAGATCCCCAAATCCCAAACCCAAAATGCTCCCAGGAGCCTTTCCTTGCAGGTCCTGTCAGCGCTCAGAACATGTTGGGTTTTGGATTTCAGGTCTGGGATATACTACCTGTGGCCGATGACTTTTTGGTCTTGATATTGGACCCTCCAGGATGGACATGCCCAGGACATACTGTGGCCCTTCCTTGTGCAGGAGGTAAACCCGAGCTTCTACCCATAAACTCCACTCCATACAGTAGGTGCTCAAGAAATGCCCACTTCTCATTCTAAGTGGACCCCAATCCCTTCTCATGCCCAAGACCCAAGAAATTCAGAGACCAGAAGGGAGTTAAGCTCATCCCATCTGGGGGTGGGGTGGTGAGCCCAAGGGCCCCTTCTCCCATGCCATGTTGGGACTGGCTGACCCAGGGATCTGTGCCTCCAAGGGTGTCACCTTCATGGCCCCCAGAGAGGCCAGAAGAATCCCATCTGGGGCAGGAAAGGGCACAAGGTCCCCCCACCTGGAGCAAGGCAGGGCTCCCATGAGCCAAGAGGGGCCGGACAGATGGGCCAGACAGATGGCGGGATGCGGCACAGCCTCTCCAGGAAGTCCAAGTCCCAGGCTCCAGCACCCCTCCCTCCCCGGGAACCTCGTGACCTACCTGCAGGACACGGCCGGAGCGTGGTTCGATCACGCGCAGTCTCTTATCCTTGCAGGTGGTGGAGAGCAGGCTGCCATCTGTGTTGAAGGACATGCAGAGGACCACATCCGTGTGGCAGTCGATCATCTTCACAGGCTCGCCCACGTCAAGGTTCCAGATGAGGACCTGTAGGCGCATGGGGTCAGGTAAGCTACTGCAGGGTCACAGGCAGTTGTCTGGCCCGCTCGACTGCTGGGAGATGCCCAGGTAGCACAGAGTCTGCAGGTGTTGCCAAGCTCTTACAAAAAGGCCAACATCTCCCAGGGACAAACTTATGGACATGCCTGGTCAGACCCCAGCCCCAGCCGGGCCTCAGTTTCCATAGCTGGCATGGAGGACACACAATCCCTGCCAGGTCCTTCTTGGCCTTTCAGGAGGGCATGCCTGGGGACAGGAGCTCCCTGCTTCTCCCTCTTGGTTAAGAAGCTACCAGGCAGAGGGCAGGGGCGTGGAGTGGGCATTCACTTAGCCCATCCCCCACCAGAGAAGGGAGAGAAGATTCCTCCAGCCTCTGCAGATCCCAGGAATGATGGGGTGCACAGGAGGTGGCCAGTCATGTGCAGCGAATGAATAAATGAATGAAGAATGAATGAAGCATGAAGCAGCATTGGCTGCTTGGCAAATATAACAGCGCTCCCTATGGGTCCCCCGAACCCTCCCTCTCCCCCTCCTGCCCTCCCTTGTTGGCCCTGGCTGCCCAGGCGCACCTTGTAGTCATAGCCAGCGCTGAACAGGATGTTGTTGGTGGTGGGGTGCCACTCCACCAGCCCCACACGCCGGCTGTGCCCGTGCAGCACCAGCAGCGCCTCCGTCATATTCCGCTTCAGCCCACCCTCAGGGATCTCCCAGATCCGCACCTGCAGAGGGATGAGGGCGACTGGGTGGGCCAGGCCAGGGGTGTCTTGTATGGGAGGTGCCCTCCCTCGGACACTGGGGATCCCAGATCAGTGGGTGAGGTGCCTCCTGGCCAGGGCGGTGGACAGACCTGGCCAGGGCCTGGGGAGGCAAAGAGGCAAAGAGAGCAAAGAGGCAAAGAGAGGAAAGAGGCCGTCTCCGCGCTGCCTTTGGGAGGCTGCTATTCTGGCACAGTCTCCGCAGACCTAAGAGCTGCTCCTACCTGCCTGTCGCCGCTACTGCCTGGATTGGCCAGGTTCGAGGTCCCCAAGACCCGCTTTCAGCAAGTGTTGTATGGGAAGGTCAGCCTCTGCCTCCCTCCTCACACCCTTCCAGAACTGCCTCCTCCCTCGCTCCTCGGCCCCGATTCGGATGCTGAAACCACAGGGTCTTTGCTTCCCGCTCTGTCCCCAACCCTGGATGGAATCCTGGGCAGAGGGAAACGTATCTGGGAGGTTGGGAGGCCCTGGCCTTCCCTAAGAGAGGATGGACTCCAGGACAGAGGCACTGTTGAGATGCTGGGCCTAAGCCGGAAGCCTGGGCAGAGCCTGACTAAGGCTGCTGTTTTCAGTCTTGCACGTGCCAATAAGGAAGCAGAAAAGTGTGATCTGCAGGGAGCTGGAGTGGGCGAGGAGGGGCAGGAGGTGGACACGTGGCCCCGGGAGGAAAACTGAGCCCTCCTCTGCTATCTTGAAATAACCCCATCATTTTGTCAGCCCTGGTGGGCCACTGTCACCCAAACCAAGCACACTTTGCATGGGCTCAAGGACTTCGCCTCTAAGCGGGGAGCAGCCCGGCTTCACCTTCTGGCGGGAAAAAGCGACAAGAAGGTGCAACTGTTTGGAGACTGCACAGTGCTCCGAGGACCTGAGGAATTGTTCCTGCCACTGTCACCATGAATATCACTCCCCAAAGTCTAGCTGGGTGGGGAGGAGGTGCCCATGTGACCACACCTGGGACACCTTGAAAACAAACCCTCTGATGACTTGAACTCCACCCCTGCCAGCAAGGAGAAAAGCAGGAAAAACAGCTCTGAGATGCCATCTCTAATCTGCTAAAACAGCTAACCAAATAAATACATAAATAAATAAATAAGCTGGTGTTGGCAAGATTGCTCTAGAACCCATCACCCATCGGTATGGTGGTGTTATGGATTGGAGGTGCTCTCAGAAACAATCGGGCGATCTCTGGTTGGAACCAGGAAGACACTTAGGTGGTGTTCTCTGATCCTGTCACTTCACTCCTAAAATACAGCATAAGCAAAACCTCCATGCACACGGTATTCTCTGTGACATCATCTATGTGGAGAATGCAGAAATGTGGTGAGTGACCGACACTGGGGACAACATACTATGTGACATCATAAGCCCTATGAGCCCCTATGACAGTTCTAAGGTCACAAAAGCACATGGGAGGCAGACCGAGGCCCCGGGGGCAGACTGGGACCTGGTGTTCCCCCGCGGAAGTTCCTTCCTCAAGTTCCCTTTCTTGGTGCTTCCTCCACAGACTATAAAAATGAGCATTTCCAATAACTGTGTTTCCCCAAACCCCAGCCCCTGAACCCATCAACAAGGAGGTTTCAGGGTAAAAGGCAGATTCGGCTAAGGATTTGGGGTCACCCTTAGGCACATCATCCTGAGTTTCGGTTAATCAGTTTCAAAAACCCACTTGAGGTTGGGAGTTTGAGAATTTGAGTACTTTAGGAGGCTAAGGCCGGAGGATTGCTCAAGCCCAGGAGTTCAAGATCAGCTTGGGCAATAGAGTGAGACCTTGTCTCTATAAATTAGCCAGGTGTGGTGGCACGCACTTATAATCCTAGTGTTTTGGGAGACTGAGGTGGAAGGATCACTTAAGGACAGGAATTTTAAACCAGTCTGGGCAAATAGTGAGAACTTTTCTCTACAAAAAAATTTTTTAAAATTAACCAGTGTTGTGGTGCCTGCCCATAGTCCCAGTTACTCAGGAGGTTCAGGTGGGAGGCTGGTTTGAGCCCAAGAGTTAGAGGCTCGAGTGAGCTATGATAGCACCACCGTGCTCCAGCCTGGGCAACAAAGCTAGACTCCCAACTCCCCCCAAAACCAGAAACAATGAGAAAAACAACCTGAGAAAAAGTGTATAATTAGGAACCAGTTTCAAATGTTTTCCCACCCCCACAGTTGCCCCCTTTGGTGCTCCAGACCCCCTTCCCCCCTTAGTAAAGTCCAGCACTCCTACACCATCCTGCGTGGGAACAGCAGGGACCCAGGGGGAGGAATGTGGCATGCAGGGGCCCAGCATGCCCTGTGACCTCTCCTTGAGAGCCCTACATAAGGGCATTCAGGAATCAGGGCTGAGCTGGGGATTGGGGGAGGGTGCAGTTGGGACAAGATGCTGGACCCATGACTCAGTGGACACCATGGGACACACGTGCCTTTTGTCCCCAGACATCCCACAGGAAGGTGACCCTAGAATTGGGAAGCTAATGCTTGAGTTAGACACACACACACACCTACACACACACAACTTCCTTTTTTATTCAAAAGGATGCTATTACACACACATTCTTCCACTTGCCTTTCTCACTTAATAGTGGGCATCTTCTTTCTTGAGACAGGTTCTTGCTCTGTTGCCCAGGCTGGAGTGCAGTGGCACGATAATAGCTCAATAGCTCACTGCAGCCTCGACCTCCTGGGCTCTAGCGATCCTCCCACCTCAGCCTCCAGAGTAACTGAGACTATTGACACCTGCCACCACGTCTGGCTGATCCTTTTATTTTTTGATAGAGATGGGGTCTCACTATTTGCCCAGGCTGGTCGTGAACTCCTGGGCTCAAAGGATCCTCTGCCTTGGTCTCCCAAAGTGCTGGTATTGCAAGTGGGAGCCACCACACCTGGCCAGGTAGTGGGCATCTTTCCACACTACGGTGTGAAGATTTCCTTATCCTTTTAGGTGATCAGAGAGACATCTGTTGTATGACTGCCCCATGATGAATGCAATCAGCCTCTGCTCATGGACACCTGAGTTCTGTCACTCTTCACGATTGCAACCCACTCTATGATGAATGTGCCCATGATATAAACTTATGCCTGGGTGTGGATATTCTTGTGGGACAGACACCTAGAAGTGTTTTGCTTTTTTATAGTCACTGTAGAACTGTCCCCAAAAGCTATCCCAGTTTTTACCCACAGAGTCTGAGAGTGTGTCTTTGTGCCTCTAAGACCACTCTTTAAAAAACGAATGTTCACCCATCAGATAGGTCCAAGATGCCATCTCTCAGTGTTTGGATTTGCATTTTGATTCTTAGAAATTCTTAGACATGCAGGAGGCATCTTAGTGCCTGTCCATTGGCCACCGTGGTTTGCACTGGAGCAGAAAGCTCTAGAAGTTTTCAGACTCGAAGGGATGAGACTTGAGGGGTAGAGAGACGGGCCAGGTGGGCTGATGTTTGGGGACGGAGGGTTCTGCCTATGGGTGGCCTCAGCCAGAATCTGCTGTGTATAAACGCTGACCCAGGTTGGGGAGTTACCTCTGGCCATCGAGAAAGATCTCTAGAACCAAAAGCTGAGCTCTCACCCTGTACATCCCTCCCAAGGACCTCCAATGGGCTAATGGGTGGTGCAAGCTGGCAGCAAAGCGGGACAGGCCACGTGAGAGACTGTGGAGCACAGAACCAGAGGACACGGAGTCTGGCCTTGGGGTGACGGGGTGGGAAGGCCTGGGGGAGCAGGATTAGAAGGGGGGAATTCGCGGAGAGCGGGGATGGGGGGAGAAGAAAAATGCCCAGCTGTATGGGTCAGGCACAGTGGGTGGGGATGCCCATGTGATCAGGCTGGCTGGTGTGGCTTGGGCTGGTGGGGCCAGAGGAGGCTGGAGGTTGTGTGTGTCACACCTTGTCATGGATGCCCCAAGAAGCCATGCTTGGGATGGAGTCTCAGGGGAAAAAAGCCATCTCCTGGACAGCCCAACTCCTGGGCCGCCCAGCTTGCCAAGTCCTCACTGGTTGCACTGTGCGGGTGAGACAGACTCAGGGCTGCAGGGTGAGGCTCTGAAGGGCTTGGAGCCCAAGTCCTCATCCTCATGGCCTCACAGGGTAGCTTGGGACAAACCAGTAACCTCCCTGGGGCTCATCCAGAAAATGAACAGAGACCGTGCCCCTGTCAGGAGTTGGGGGTTAAACTAAACGGGCTTCAGAGTCCTTGTGAGGGAGAACTTTCTGGCTGTGTGACAGGTTTGTTGGGGCAACAGCTCTGTCTAGGAGCCTGGGATCAGCCCAGCAGCTGGGGGAGGGTGGGTAGTATGTGTCTGGGCTCCTGCCCCTGGATTGGGTCCAGGTCTCATGGTGCAAAGTGGGGAAACCAGTAGAGCTGTTTTCCCTGGTGACTTAGGGGCAGGGATCTGGGACACCACGAGAGAGGGCGGCGCCTCCCCGTGGCCCCACTTGTCATCAGCCACTTCCACAAAGACAGAATACCCATTTATCTCTCAAAGCCCTCTGCTGTGGACATCACTGACCATATCCTGGGAGGGTACTGGCTCTGCTCGGCCTGGGCTGCAGTAAGAGCTCAGAGGAGGAGCTGTGGGTCACAGTGGGCCTCAGCAGCTGGGAAAGGAATTCCAGTCCCTCAATATTCAAGGATTTGTTGGAACAAAGAGTGGCTGGGCGTGGGTGGAGCTGCCCTGAGGCTGCCCTGGGAGGCAACTTCCGGGCAACAGGAAGCACTGGAGGCTGGAAGAGTTTCTGGAAGGAAGGGGTGGGAAGTAGCCAAAGAACGCTCTCTAGCAAGCTGGTGGTGCTGTGCTGGGACTGTCCCCTCCTTGGTCCCCAGCTCAGAGCCCGCTTAGCTCAGTGACAGTCAACCCAAGGGAACATGCTCAGCCCCTTCCGGTGCCACACAGATTAGACACTGAGGGGCCTGGCCTTGATCTCATGCGGCCCCCAGGCCTGTAGGGAGACAGACACTGCAGGCTCAGTCCCAGCAGCGGA